CCCATGCTTATCCGGGGTTACCATCTCTGCCCTAGGCCATATTGGGCACCAGTGCCAGCCTATGGTCAGGCACAGAAGTCACGCTGTCTCTGCAAGTCTGGGTTAGGCCCTTCTTGGCTTTGGTGGCTGTCCTCTGTCCTTACCCAACTTAAATGAGTCAAATTTCCTTTCTGATTTTTCACAAAGTTCAACTGCCAGTTGCCTAAGTAAGAAGCTGTGGGCAAAAGAACAAAGCTCTTCCGGGTGAAGTTAATCCCCCACATCCTCAATGCAAATATTGACATTTATCTTATGCTGGGAGTGAGCATTCAAGGTTCTATAGCCTGCAGGTTTGGTTTTACTCCCACACAATCAAGGAAGTTGGGTCACCGCTTATAAACCCATTTTAGGGATAGGAAGCTTGAGACATAGAGGGATTATGCAACCTGTAAAAATGTCACACAGCTAGTCAAGGGACAGGGTCCTGGCTCCTGGCCACAAACTTGGGACTCATTCCTCAACATCTCAGCTGCTATGGCATTGTACTATGTGGCCTCAAGTCACCAGGAGTGTCTCCGTACTCTCTCAAAACTGATTTGCAACGTCTTAGACAAGAGAATATTTAAAATTGGCTGGATTCTCTCCTACCACCCCTACTAATGGGTAAATAATCTTCCAGAGGCAGTTTGTGTATCATGGCCATAAACTTTTTTTTTTTAAATTTAAGAGTTACAAGTGCAATTTTGTTACATGAATATATTGCATGGTGGCGAAATCTAGGCTTTTAGTGTATCCATCACCTGAATAATGTACATAGTATCTATTAAGCAATTTCTCATCACCGACCCTGTCCCCATTCCCCTACTCCACTGACTCACCAATGTCTACCATTGCACACTCTACGTCCATGCGTACACACCATTTAGCTCCCACTTCTAAGTGAGAACGTGGTATTTGACGTTTTGTTTCTGAGTTATTGCACGTAAGAAAGTGGCCTCCAATTCATCCATGTTGCTTCAAAAGACACGGTTTCATTCTTTTTTTAAATGGCTGAATAACATTCAATTGTGTATATATGCCACAATTTCTTTATCCAATTATCAGTTGATTGACACTTACATTGATTCCGTAAGTTGATTTTACATTGGCAAAGTTGATTCATGTCTTTGTTATTGTGAATAGTGCTGTGAGAAACATATGAGTTCAGGTATCTTTTTGATATAATGATTTCTTTTCCTTTGGACCTATACCCAGTAGTGCGAATGCTGGATCAAATGGTGGTTCTATTTTTAGTTCTTTGAGGAATTTCCTTTCTATTTTCCATGGAGGTTATACTAATTTACCTTCCTACCAACAGTGTTTAAGTGTTCCCTTCTCTGCATTCTCATCCAATATCTGTTATTTTTTGAGGTTTTTATTAAAGCCATTATGACTAGTGTAAGATTATATCTCATTGTGGTTTTACTTTGCATTTCTGTGATGATTAGTGATAATATGCATTTTTTCCCACATGTTTATTAGGCATTTGTATGTCGTATTTTTAGTCCCCTGTTGGTTGCACAGTTTGCAAATATTTCCTACCATTCTGCAGGTTGTCTTGTCACTCTGTTGTCTATTTCTTTTGCTGTGCAGAAGGTTTTCAGTTTTTGTTGCCTATGGTTTAGAGCTCTTCTTCATGAATTCTTTGCCTACACCAATGTCTAAAAGAAGTTTTCTCTAGGTTTTCTTCTAGTATTTTTATAGTTTCAGGTCTTAAATTTAAGTTTTTAATCCTTCTTGAGTTAATTTCTTGTATGATGAGAGATAGGAGTCCAATTTCATTTTTCTGCATAAGACAGTCCAATTTCCCCAGTACCATTTATTGAAAAAGGCATCCTTTCCCAAGTGTGTGTTTTTGTGGACTTTGTTAAAGATCAGTTGGCTGTAGATCTGTGGCTTTATTTCTAGGTTCTCTATTCTGTTCTATTGATCCATGTGTCTACTTGTATACCAGTACCATGTTGTTTTGGTTACTACAGCCTTGTATTATAATTTGAAGCCAGGTAATGTGATGCCTTCAGCTTTGTTCTTTATTTTAGGATTGCTTTGGTTATTTGTGCTTTTTTTGGTTTCATCTGCATGTTAGAATTGTTTTTTTCTAATTTTGTGAAAAATGATTTTAGTATTCTGATAGGGATTGCATTGAATCTATAATTTGCTTTGGGCAGTATGATCATTTTAATGACTTTAAATCTTTTGATCCATGGGCATGGGATGTTTTTCCATTTGTTTGTGTCATGTACAATTTCTTTCATCAGTGTTTTTATTTTTCCTTGTAGAGATCTTTCACATTCTTAGTTAAATGTATTCCTAGAGTATTTTTGTAGTTGCTATAAATGGAATAGCCTTCTTGATTTGGTTATCAGCTTGGTTTGTTATTGGTGTATAGGAATGCTACTAATTTTTGTTTTTCTTTTTTTTTAATTTCAGCATATTATGGGGATACAAATGTTAAGGTTACGTATATTGCCTATGCCTCCCCTCTCCCCTTGAGTCAGAGCTTCAAGTGTGACCCTCCTCCAAACGTTGCACATCTCACTCATTATGTTTATATATCCCCATCCCCTTCTCCCCCCTCCCACATGCCCGACACTCATAAATGTTATTCCTATATGTCACTTAGGTGTTGATCCGTTAATACCAATTTGCTGAATTTTTATGTGTTGATTTTATATCTTAAAACTATACTGAATTCATTTATCAAATTTAAGAGTTTTTAGTGGAGTCTTTGAAGTTTTCTAAATAAAAGATCATATTGTTGGTGAATAGAGATAATTTGGCTTTCTATTTTCCAATTTGGATGCCTATCATTTCTTTCTCTTTCCTGATTGCTCTGGCTAGGACTTCCAATACTTTGTTGAGTAGGAGTGGTGAAACTGGGCATTCTTTTCTTGTTCCAGTTCTTATAAGGAATGTTTTTAACTTTTTCCCATTCAATATGATGTTGGCTGGTGTTTGTTGTAGATGGCTTTCAGTATTTTGAAATATTTTTAAAGAATATGAACCCTAATGATTTTCCAAGAGCTCCTAAAACCCCTGGAATTTCCTGAGGGATAGGAATTGTCTTTGTTATTCATTTGAGACCCTTTTAACCTTATCAGAGTGTGCACTAGTGAGTTGACCCTTTAGCAGGTCACTGGATAGCTTCATGATGGTGACTGCTTGCCTGAAGACCCAAGCATGTGATTAGATGGTTGCAATTTTCAGCTCCACCCCTACTCCAACCTCTGAAGAGGGGAGAAGGGATAGAGGTTGAATTCTCATGAATACTTATAAGCAGGTAGGCTCTTTTCCCTAGGGGCCAACTTTGGAAACATCTGAGGAACTGCTGGAAACTATGACCATTTGGACCATTTGGAAAATGTCCTATGAACAACTCTCTATTGAGCAACAAAGATCTTCTTGCTTAATGGATGGTGTGTTTTATGGTTCCAAAGTGAATGGACATCCTGTTTGGAAGGGCAGCATCTTGACTGAAGAAGCTAAAAATAAATCAGCTCAGTGGTGTCCATAGCATGTGCCATGTTTGGATGGCATGGATATGTAACAGTATGTGCAGTTGGCCAATCTGAGTCTTTTTTTTTTTTTTTTTTTGAGGCAGAGTCTCACTCTGTTGCCCTTTCTAGAGTGCTGTGGCATCAGCCTAGCTCACAGCAACCTCAAACTCCTGGGCTCAAGCAATCCTACTGCCTCAGCCTCCCAAGTAGCTGGGACTACAGGCATGTGCCACCATGCCTGGCTAATTTTTTTAATATATATTTTTAGTTGTCCAACTAATTTCTTTCTATTTTTTTAGTAGAGATGGCGTCTTGCTCTTGCTCAGGCTGGTCTTGAACTCCTGAGCTCAAATGATCCACCCACCTCGGCCTCCCGGAATGCTAGGATTACAGGCATCCTAGGTTGGCCTGTAATGCAAATATATTTATTTATTTATTTTTTAGACAGAGTCTTGCTTTGTTGCCCAGGCTAGAGTGAGTGCCATGGCGTCAGCCTAGCTCACAGCAACCTCAAACTCCTGTGCTCAAGCAATCCTGCTGCCTCAGCCTCCCGAGTAACTGGGACTACAGGCATGCACCATCATGCCCCGCTAATTTTTTCTATATATTTTTAGTTGGCCGATTAATTTCTTTCTATTTATAGTAGAGACAGGGTCTTGTTCTTGCTCAGGCTGATTTTGAACTCCTGACCTTGAGCAATCCAACTGCCTCGGCCTCCCAGAGTGCTAGGATTACAGGCATGAGCCACCGCTCCTGGCTCCAACCCGAGTCTTCATGATCAAAGTTATTATTTGGGTTCCATCATGTAGGCATGATTAACTGCCCACATGGTTAACCCTAGTCTGCAACCATTCTAGAGGTCACTGTCTCCTGATACCATGTGAGCCAAAGCTTAAACCCTCAATCACATTTTTGGTCTTTTGGCATGGCCAGCCCCCAAACTAGGGCTATCTGACTTGGCCAGCAAGCACCCCAAGTGACCCAAGGCCTCCAGTCACCCAAGGAAACTCCTAACAGGTATGCATTCCAAAGAATAAAAGATTATCTCCCTGAAGCCAGGCGCAAAGACAGACCTCACTTTGGGCAAGGTTTCCTTACTGCACACACGTAGAATCAATTAGTCTACCAGTCATTGCCAAGGGACTCCATGTGCATGTGGGGGCGTATCTTCAGTACTCAGCTGAGTAGTTGACAGATCTGCTTTAGTCTTCACTTGCCTCCACAGAGCCTCAAGGTCAGCTGGGGTGAGAGCTTCGGGTCTTTTCAGGGCTTTCCTAAGTACCAACACAGTACTGGGAATGCAGACAGCCCTAGGAACATGCGTAGTCTTCTAGATTCTGAGGAATATATCAGAGCTTTTCAATGCTCCAGGGAACATATCATCCCAAGCTTTTCCTTTTAAGCTTTTTGATTACTCTATTGTTTGCATTAACTGTTATCCACTGCTGCACATGGCCACAAAGTTAAACAATCGCTAGTGGTTGCTTTCAATGAATGTCCCCTAATTATAGGGCTTTTTGCAGCAAGAGGGCTCTGAGTTAGGTCAAATACAGACATCACTGCATGTGGGGTCTCTCTGGGAACCACTGACAGGTCAAAGAATGACAATTCGATGTTGGTGCTTACACATATCTTGTTATTATCTTGTTTTCATCTTATTTTCCATGATCTCACTGGGACACCTTCTCCCCTGGCTTCAGTGATCACCCACGTGCTGCTGATGCCCAGGTCTGTATCCTCCTCTCACCTCTGCTCAGCGTCGGACCTGCGCTCGGCTCTCTACTGGACGTCTCCCCCGGCTCCTCACGTCCACGTGTCCAGGGCTGCGTTTACCTTCGTCTTCTGACCTACACCAGTGCCCCGTTCCCAGTCAGGGGCCCCACCCAGAAACCTGGTCCTGTCCTTGGCTCCTGCCTCTCCTGACGCCCAGGGGCCGTTGATCCAGGACCTGCCAGATGTCAGACCCACTGCTCAGCACCTCGCGTGCAAAGATTTATTTTATTGTTACAATCTTAAGAGGGAGGAGAGAAAAAAAAGGGGAAACTTCTGCTGTTTCTAGCACTTATTGGTGAGGACATTGAAGCAGAGATCCCTAAAGCCATCACACTTTTTTTTCAGCTTCCTCTCCATTTTGTGGCATCTGGAACAGGTTTCCCCATCCTCACCCTTCTCCCTGGCCCCAGACCATGAGAAATGCACTCTTATGTTCCCCACTCCCTCTCATGACACTATATTGCAATGTGTCAGGTTCCTTTTTTGTATTTTATGAACTTGGCATGAAAGAGAATGGATATTTCTTCTCCCACAGGAAATGAAAGCAGAAGCAGTTACTAGGTATGTTATCTGACAACAAATGTATGCTTTATTTCATGGAAACAGTTGGAGTAGTTTCAACTGGTTTTACCTGGCCCTAAGAAAAATCACTGAAATGTACACTTTTTAAAATTTCAGCATATTATGGGGGTACAAATGTTAAGGTTACGTATATTGTCCATGCCTCCCCTCCCCCCTTGAGTCAGAGCTTCAAGCATGACAATCCCCCAAACGTTGCACCTCTCACTCATTATGTTTGTGTATACCCATCCCCTCCTCCCCCCTCCCACCTGCCCGACACCCGATAAATGTTATTCCTACATGTCCACTTCGGTGTTGATCCGTTAATAACAACTTGCTGATGAGTACGTGTGCTGCTTGCTTTTCCATTCTTGAGATACTTTACTAAGTAGATTGGGTTCCAGCTCTATTCAGCTTTAAGAAACAATCGTGATATAGCACCTCTTGTATTTTCCTGAAATGCACATTTTTTTGTCTCTATTTCCTCGGGCTTACTCCCCTCTATCTCTGGCTCTCCTGCAAGGGAGGAAAGTCTAACTCCCCACAGCTCCCAGAGGGAGGCTGAGGGGCCTGAAACCCTGGCCAGGCTGCTCCCTCAGAGAACTAATCCGGGGAAGGGGACCTGGGTCACCCACCCCAGAAGGCTAGATGGTTGACAGTCCTGTAGATCTAGCCAGTTCTTGGATAGACTGGATTTTTTTCCTGACACCAGGGCAGAACAGAGCCAAGACAGCAGGTGTGGGCGAGGCATGAAGGGTTCGCATGGAAGAGAAGGGAAGCGGGTGTATGAGACAGTACTGCTGGACATTTACAGATTCTACAGGAGGACTTCGTTGTGCCAGACCCTAAGCCGAGGTCAAACCAAGCTCAAGCAGGTCTCTGAGGACAGATTGGCACATGACCTGACTCATCCAATACCCTTCGTGCCCCTGATCTGGGGTACCACAGTGGATGGAAAGGTCAAGCCACATTTCCAGACTCATGTCAGCTGAAGTCCCTGCAGTCATTTCACATACACAAGCCTTTTATTTGAGATGAGTGACATAAGCGTCAAGGGAAGGGACAGGCAGGCTTTGCGGGCTTGGAATGCTGGCGGAGATGGCATGGTCACTAGCAGTTCTTGCCCTGGCAGTTTCCTGTCCAGGGCACAGGCAGCAGCTGTCTTAGCAACCCAATTGTGCACTGCGGCTCTGGAGGCCATTTCTGGGATCTCTGGTTTGAGTTTATTTCTTCAGCTCCACCAAATATGCCATGGTGAGCAAATATTCCATATATGCAAACCTCCACCCAAATGCCGAGGGAGCTGAGAGGTTGAAGAAAGGGGCTGACAAATCCAGTTTCTCAGAAAGAAACATGTAATAGGGACTTATGAACAGAAGTGATGTCTTGGATGGCCATGACATGGCAGATCCCCTCACCTGCCCTCCAGAAGTATCCCTTATGTAGCAAACTTTTTTGGTTAAAAACATACAATTGGTCACACTTCAGACTTTCTTGTGAAACTGGTGACCACTAGAAGGGTTAGATAAACACCTTTATGAGGGTTTAGCTAGACTAAGGGCACTGTTTAAAGACTTGGCTGCAGTCGCAGGGGCCAAACGTCCGTGCTCATGGTGGTTTTGTTTTAGATGGCGTCGCTCTTGTTATACAACAGGCTGTTCTCCTGCACCAAAATATCATGGAGCTAAAATGTACCCGTTAGTATATCTTTTTCTCCTTAGAGTAGCTAAAGAGAATGTTGTTGTCTCAGCTATAAATTTGGACTATCATTATATAAATGATATAAAAAGAGTTGCTGGCAAGAGACTATAAAGGAAAAAGGGATATGGAATTCTCCGACCCGGGTGGGTTTGAAGGATATGGAATTTCTATTTAATTGATTTAAAAACCATCTGAGGGATGGTCATGCTGGAGACTCAGACTTGTGGGGGGGGGGAAGGGCATTTATTGAAACTTTAAAATCTGTACCCCCATAATATGCCGAAATAAAAAAAAAAAGAATAGAGAAAGTGGAATAAATAGAAAGCATATAAAAAAAATTATATTGTATTTACTGTTGAATAGGCACTAACCTGAGCCATTTACAAATATTAGGGTTATATGATTGATGAGACAGTGGTAGTTCATACCATCTAGTGGTAAAACAGTTACTTAAATTGTCACCTGTAATCACCTAGAACAAAATGTTTATGAAAGGTAAGAAGTTGGCAGATTGAAGCAGTTACTGTAATTGAAAATTGTTGGGGAAGTCGTACTAAATATGAGGTTTATGGGGTGGGCTGGATGTATCTAATTGTGCTGGAGACAAGTTCAAGGTTAAAAATTTTCAGTTTCAGTTCCAGGTGTAGTGGGACACTCCTGTAATCCCAGCACTTTGGGAGGCTGAGGTGGGAGGATTGCTTGAAGCCAGGAGTTTGAGACCACCTTGAGCAACATAGTGATAGCCCCATCTCTACAAAAAGATTTTTAAAAATTCAGTTTAAGGAAAGTTTAGAAAACTAGGGACTTTCCATGCTTATCGTAAAACAATTCTTTATCTCCTATAGCCAAAAATCAGATACAGATTCTGGTCCTGAAGGTTGTTGGATTTCAAAGTAGGTTGAATTCTCAGCCTCTGAATGGGCTTGTGTTAAAAGGTAGCACATTGATTGAGAGAGAATAGGACCCTGAGAATCAGGGCTTCCCTTACCAAGAGATGTGGCCCCTAGTTCCATCTGGGAAACTAGTCCTGCCTTTCCAGTTTGCAATAACCTCACCTCAGGTAGGTTCTTTCTTTCCTGAAGGAAAATACCACTTTTCTTCATGGCTTACCCCTCCCCTTAATCCTCCAGGCCTATAGGTCCCTGCGTGTCCCAGGGGTCAATTAGATAGTCAAACTTGGGAGGAGAAGGCTTCATACCAAAAGACTTGCAAGCTTTTGTTAACGTATATTAGCAAACATCTGGAAAACACTAGTGAGAATAGATTATCAAGGTATTAGACCAAGGAGGGAGAATTGTCACAGAGAGCTCGATCACACCACATCCCATCTGCCCTCTTTCTGAGCTACCACAGGGATTACGTCATGTTGATTTGCTATAGTGCGAAGCAAACAGCAGGTACCCTAGATGCCCTAGTACAACACAGAAGCAGCAGAGAATGGAAACTAAAGTTTATGAAAGTTAATGGGCCTGGCACCTTAGTAAAGTTTCTAGACATTTGGTCATTTGGAGAATATTAGCACATTCCCTCAAAGATAGAAGCAAATTTGCTTCACCTTGAATGTACTATCATTAAAAGACACTATGCTTTGTAGGTCTTCTTGGTTTTGAAGGCAATATACATGACAATCGGGTGTACTATGTCAGCACATTCACTAAGTACTCATTAGACCTGGGATCTCAGACTGTGGCCTGTTAGGAACCAGGCTACACAGCAAGATATGAGGGGGGGGCAGTGAGCCCGCAAAGCTGCTTCTGTCTGCAATCACTCCCTAACACTCATCATCACCTCCTGCCCGCCCCCTGTCCATGGAAAAATTGTCTTCCATCAAACCAGTCCCTGGTGCCAAAAATGTTGGGGACTGCTGCATTAGAGGATCAACTTTGAATCTGCAGGCTGCCCACCCTGAAGGCTGGGAAGCAAAGCCTCCTACAGGACCAAAAGCAGGCACTTCAAAGGAAGAACAGGATTTTGTGCTGAATGGGTTGGCTAATTATACTCATTTGCGGGGTGGAGTAATTGAGGCAGGCCCACGAGGACATGAGCTGCTTCTCCCCACGGAGCCAAGTCCCTAAGATAGGAGTCGCCACAGAGGATAAGAAAATTGATAGGCAGCAGAGATAAATAAAAGAATACACAGAGACTAAGGTATAGTTTATAGTTTTATATATATAAAAAGATCAGATATAACATAGCGGGAAGTTCCTAGGGGACTGGCGTATCTCCATCAACGCCAGCAATATGGTTAGATTCATACAGGTTTTTATAATCACAGACATCAATTACCAGTTGTCAGGGTAACATATTTGCATATCAGAGAATGCAGTTGCTAGGGAATACAGGTAGTGGGTTAGGGTCAAAGTCCTCTCAAGGGGCTTCTAATCTATCTAGGTGAACAAACAGGTACAAAGTCTTTCAGGGGCTAGCTTCTAAAGAGGTAGTAGTTGTCAATTAACAAAGGTATAACAAAAGGCATATAGTGACTCAATATTTCTTTGATTAGTTATGGTGGACTTAAAGGTAGACAGACAGGAGAGAGCAGGAAGCCCATTTCTAATAAACACGTTGTTTATAACTGCCGGGGCGCATCTCTGGACAAAGTGCACTCATTGTCTCCGGCTCCCATCCTGTGGGCCATATTTGCTTTGCCTTGTCTTTCAAGACACAGGGAAGCTCACAGATTTTGAGATACCGGGAAGCCTTCCTGGAAAACATCCCTACCGGAGATTTGAGAGCTCTCCCATGATAGCAGCCTCTAATAAGTGAACCATTGGGTCCACACATTCCTTTAGGGAAAACCCTGCAAACTCCTGTTTCTGTCTTTAATATAGTAATATAGGGTGATAAAATAAAATAATGGTCTTATGAGCCACATCTCATTAATTCCTCAATCATATTTTCTCAACACACAATTAACAGGTTATAAGAAGAGCTAGGAATATTTATGAAGCAGTGGCATGCATGTGTAAGCAAACATGCCTGTTACTTAGCTCCCATGTTCACTTTGGGGTGAAGACTTAACATTTAAATGCATTAAAATTAGGCTCTATCTGTCAAAAGGTGAAACAGAGGACACAGAGGCTTTTTGTGCACAGCCGCTGTAAACTGTCCAGAATCAGTTCACAGTCCGTAGTCAAAAATCAGGAAGAAATGTGCTTTGAAACTGGTCAGCTGCTATCTCAAATTGGCAAGAAGGGAAGGAAATCCAGTTGCAGCATTGGGCAGTTGATTGAAATCAGTGGTGAAGCAAGTCTTTGGAAATGGCCGGTTTCTGTTTAACTCTTATGAAAGGAAGTCTAATGGCAGTTAGCAAGGGAGGGAGTGTAACAAGGTGTTCTGACCTCCCATTCTTTCATGGCCAGAAATTCAGTTTTAAGGTTTCTTTGGAGTTCCCTTGGCCAAAAGGGGGTCTGTTCAGTTGGTTGGGTGACTTAGGATTTTATTTTTATTTCCTAACCCAAAGATGTTTGAAGTGACCTTGAGCCATCTGATTGTTCTTTGGAACCATGGCAGACTGAGTGGAAAAACAAACCTAACAGAGGTTCCTTGAATGTGAAGCAGAACCACATCTTCTTCGGAAAGTAACTCTCTTCTCACATAGCTTTTGGTTTGCTATTGAACTCTAGCAGAGTCTAATACCTGATCATGGGACTGGTATTGACTAGGCATTGACCAGGCAACCTGAGCTGCCCGTTGTCAACTGGGTATTTTCTAATCCGTGAAACCATACAACCAGGTATGTCCAAGAGCATTTCATTATCAAGTGGAAGTTACATATACAAGAGCAGCTCAAGCAGGACTTCCAAACACAAAAAGGTTGCTTACAACAATGCACCTACACTTGCTGCCAAGACTATCTCTAACATTTGTGGAACCCAGGGCAAGAGTACAAATGGAGATCCACAGCATACATCCACATATTGAAAAGTTATAAATCAAGCTAATAAATGTTAAATAAAATATGTTCAGTTCTCTTAGCCTGAAATATTGTCCTGTGAGTGTACTTGAATGAGTAAATTCCAGGAAATTACTCATGAAGCTACAAGCTGGAAACTGGTGTTTACCAAGTAGAACCACAATTCCTTAAGGGACTAGAAACTTTCCTGGAAGGGGAATGGAGGTCTGTGGTCAGCACCGGGCTAACTTGGGTCTCCTACCTGTAATTCACTCGATGGAGCAGGGTTTCTGGAAGGCTAGACTGTTGCTGCTGGACAAACAACTACCAGGTGAGTCCTAGGACTATGCTGAAGGAAACTTGTTACCAGAAACAAGAGACATTTGCAAGAAGTATAGTGCAAATCACTGAAGTGACAGAGACTACGGGAAAGTTTGCAATGTCCAGTATTAAAAAAAAATATTAATATCTGGGTTTAAAGCCACAAATGCCCCCTTTTCTGTGAAGTCAATACTTGGCCAGATACCAACAGGTGTTTCACAATGTCAATAGTCAGAGAGACTCACATGTTGGGTTTCTGATCACACATCAAGGGCTTGACGTTAGAGAGATTTATTCAGTGAGATGACAGAAGTGATGAGGGGATCTCTAGCTAGACCACTGCCCTGCAGGAGAATCTATAATGAAGTCTTATAGAAGAGGCCCGGAATTCACCAGAGTGGCCTGCCAATCATTGTTCTTGGTAAAGCTATTAAAGTTATTTGGGAAGCATGAAGAGATAGTACAATATTTGTCAAACAGACCAAATGAGTGGGCCAGACGGGGGGCAGGGTATGCCGGTTCTGGTTTAAGGGTATGGAGGCAATGCAGCTATGTTGAAGTAGATTTCTGCAAAGCAATGTTCTGCAGGAGGGGGTATAAAGAACTCCCACCTCTAGCTAGAGAAGGAGCCTCAGATCAAATGTGTAAGAGGTATTGCATTACACTTTGCCCACTAATCTTCATGCATGTGGAGTAGGGGCAAGGGGTTATCACTGGTGTGACCACTCAGGCTTTAGTACCTAACAGCCCTAGTATATGTGGAATAGATTTTGATAAATCAATGCACTGCCTTCATCCTGGGACTCAAAGTCCCTTGTGCTTGCTTCAGGAAAGAATGAGTGTCATATAGCACTGAAGTCTCCAAACCCCTGGCCACAGACTGGTACCAGGTCCGTGGCCTGATAGGGACCGGGCTGCAGAGCTTCACCAACCCTCCACCCACCCCTTGCGCTGGTCTATGGAAAAAATTATCTTCCATAAAGCGGTTCTAGTGCCAAAACGGTTGGGGACTGCTGAATTGTAGCTGACTGCACCTGGAGACAATCGCCATCCTAGGCTTTCAGAAATTAGTCAGGAAATGATGGGGGAGAGGTCACAGTGAAGAATAGTTCTAGACTTAAGGCTAAAAGACATTAGTAGAGAAATTATTCTGCTCCTCTTGCAAGAGGAAAAGGTTTATGCAGACAGGGTACCCAATAAATGATGCTGTCTTCCAGCAAATAGGAGCATGATCCAGGGTGGTTCCTGACTCAGAAAAGAGGAGACATGTGGCAGAAGCTCAGCTCTAAACCTGAATGCTGCATGTTATGATCAAACAATAGTTGCACATTCCCCAGCTTGAACCCCCAAGCACCTCCTAATGATGAAGGGGGATCCCTGCCTGACCGGGTTGCGTGGATCAAGCCAGATTGGATGGGCTGGTGCCCTCCAGGAGAGGTCAAGAGACATGAAAGACCATAAAGTTACAGGACCATTTACAGTGCCCCAGAGAAGAGTTCTGTCCCCACCATTAGAAAAAAGAGGAAGTGTGATATTACATAGGACAGAGGAGCCCCACATCACAAGCAAATGTCGTGATTTATCTTCTCCTTTCTCACCCTTGGGTGAGAAAATTTGCAAGGAGCTACACATATTTTTCCGAGAAGATATAATGAGATGGAGAGAATTTTATTCACCAACATCCCAAAGAGGCCGAGCAAGGCTGACTGGCATGAAGAAGACATGAGACAAGCAACTGCAGTAGAGAGGCTATACCTGCCCTCATGGGGGCTGTGCCTGGTGGGAAGAGACACCTGTCAGGAGAAGTTGGCATTGAAAGGAGACAGTGAGGGAAGTGCCAACAGTATGGAAGTGGCTGTGCAATGGAATTTCTCCCATGACAACCTCCGGATGTTTGGCAAAGTTATTAAGCTAATGAGATGATTGACTCAAGTGGACCATTTTATTGGAATAAAAACGGGGCAGACCTGAAACATCAGGAGGGACTTCGTAGTGGAGAAAGTGTGGGGAAGGGATTATGAAAGGTTAGGATTCAAAAATTACTGAAGACAGAAGGATGGCCTTGGACCATTGTGGGCTATGAAAGTGAGTTTCAGACCAAGTTTAATCAAGTTGATATCTGAGTTACCAAAAGATGCTGGGCCAGGTGTCCTCCCTATCTTTGGGATTGTTCTGTGATAAGGACCCCCTTAATCAGCGGTGCATGCAGGGTTTCTGTGTTGGATAGAAGCTCAAAATGCTCCTCCCTATGCAAGCTCCATGAATCTACAGTACCATGAATCCGTGCAGACTTAGGCACTGAGCTGATGCTCCTCTTCTCAGCCATGGCTGCTCCTCTCACAGAGGAAAATCCCAGATAGGGATTTCTTTATGAGTCCTGTATGGGAATTGAATCAACAATTTCATAGAACCTTCTAAATAACCACTTCTTTGTCTCTCTGCTTACCCAGCCCCTCATGACTCTGATTAGCAACCATCTCCTTTGACCTTTTCCTCCCAGTTTTAATTTTACTCAGTACAGAAAAGAATTCAATTTCTCCCTCAGAAACGTTACAGAATCTGTCTGCATTGGCTCAATCAGCTTTTCATACATTCTCCAGTTCTGGAATGCTTCTTGTAAGCCAAGTCTTATGTTGTCTTGTCTTGGGGTAGTTAGAAAGTTGGGAGAGAAGGAGGGAATAGACAGGAAAGAAAGGAAGAGTCTTTTCCCTAGACAAAGCCCTGTTTGTCAAAGCCAACAAATTAAGTTGTAAACAGATGCTCAAATCACTAGTCATCAGGGAAATAAAAAGTGAAATAATATACCATTTTTTATGTATCAATTGATAACCATTATTAATAATATACAGTATGGACAAAGCTGCAGAAAAATGGGAACTCTCATAGACTGTTGGTGGGAATATAAACATGCACAGCCATTTTGGAGTACAATTTCACAGTATATTAATGTCATAAATGTGCCATGCACTTTTATCTTAAAATTCTATTTCCAGGGATATAGCTAAACAGAAGCAACACTATATGTATGAAAAAAGATACATGTTTAAGTGTGTTGTGGCTGAAACTGCTAGCTGCCTACCCACTATCAATCCCTTCCCTTCCTCACTGTGTATTTGGTTGTAGTGATGTGCCTAAATAACGATTTCCTTTCCCCAGACTCCCTTGGAAGAAAGAGAAGACCAGTAAAATGGAAGCAGAAGTCATTTGGTGGGACTTGAGGGAAAACTCTTCCCCGTCCACATCTTTTTACTTCCTGGTGTCTGGAACTTGGGCATGATGGCAAGAGTTCCAGCAGCTATTCTGTGACCTTGAGAATAGAGGCCACACACTAAGGAACAGAAAAATATATGGTGCCTAAGACCCTGATGCTTCATAGAGTCATCATTCCTGCCCTGCACTGCTTCTCTACGGAATTTTTTGAATAGAAGAGGAAAAAAGGTCACAGTTTGTTTTGGTTACCATGACTGAGGCTTTCCAGATCCAATTCTAGTCTCAGTACATGACCTTATATAGAGCTTCTTCTTTTATTAAGTAAACCAGGGTTTGGCCACAGTAGTACATATCCCTCTCAAGCTTCTGAAAAGCCAAATTTGTAAACCAAAAAAAATTTTTTGAGACAGAGTCTCACTCTGCTGCATGGGCTAGAGTGCCATGGCATCAGCCTAGCTTACAGCAACTTCAAACTCCTGGGCTCAAGCAATCCTACTGCCTCAGCCTCCCGAGTAGCTGGGACTACAGTCATGTGCCACCATGCCTGGCTAATTTTTTTATATATATTTTTAGTTGTCCAACTAATTTCTTTCTATTTTTTTAGTAGAGATGGGGTCTTGCTCTTGCTCAGGCTGGTCTTGAACTCCTGAGCTCAAATGATCCACCCACCTCGGCCTCCCGGAATGCTAGGATTACAGGCATCCTAGCTTGGCCTGTAATGCAAATATATTTATTTATTTATTTATTTATTTTTAGACAGAGTCTTGCTTTGTTGCCCAGGCTAGAGTGAGTGCCATGGCGTCAGCCTAGCTCACAGCAACCTCAAACTCCTGGGCTCAAGCAATCCTGCTGCCTCAGCCTCCCGAGTAGCTGGGACTACAGGCATGCATCACCATGCCTGGCTAATTTTTTCTATATATTTTTAGTTGGCCAATTAATTTCTTTCTATTTATAGTAGAGACAGGGTCTTGTTCTTGCTCAGGCTGGTTTCGAACTCCTGACCTTGAGCAATCCGCCCGCCTCGGCCTCCCTGAGTGCTAGGATTACAGGCATGAGTCACTGCTCCCGGCCTGCAAATATTTTTAAACATCTAAAAAAGAAGATATAAAGTAAACAGGAATCAATAGGTATAAACTGTATATAAAACTCCAAATTATATCAACAGAAACTGGGGGGAAATGGTAGAGAAAGAAAGAGACTTATTCAATTCTCATCTAACAGGGAAAAGTAAATGATAACATTCTTTTCATAGCACTGATGATTACAGGAAAAACAGATTCAAACTATTTTTCTTTTTTGATTTACAGGAAACTACTAGCAAAATTGAAAATGGAATGTTTACCCTTCAAAATCATTAGGAGGCAGGGGAGGCAAAGGAAATAGAATGTGCATTAGTGGTCTACAAACTTTTTATGACAGGGCTGTGAAAAATAAGTTAAAACGTTGTAAAAAGGCAATTCTACCATATGTATATGAATTGATTTACAAATTTTACATTTTAAAACACACACCAAAAAAATAAACTCTTTACAAATATAAGATATCCATATCCATAAAAT